AATCATGAACAGGTGTCTAGAGCTCGAATATTTCCCTCAACAGTGGAAGGGAGAGAAAGTCAAGATCATACCAAAGCCGAGCAAGACTGATTATAGCAAATGGGGCTCCTTCCGCCCAATAGAGCTCTTTTCGGTCTTTGGAAAGTTGCTCGAAAAATTGTACATCAAGCGGGTCACATATTGTGCAACTAAGGCGGGACTACTCAACAGTTTGGTTTCAAGGAACAGACCAGCACGACTGCAGCCATAGACACGGCGTTCAGTATCGTAAAAGCAGCTAAGAAGAAAGGTAAACAGGTGCTGGGCGTTTCTTTGGACATCCGCTCCGCGTTTGACAACGCGTGGTGACCTGCACTATTTGAGAGATTACGTGCAATACGATGTTCTAAGAAAACCTTTCATTTAGATATCTTCAGAGAGCTACATGACGAACCGCACAGTTACATTAGAATACGCAGGACCGCGGGTCACTAAGCGTTGCATCCAAGGGTCAGCATGTGGACCCATTCTATGGAACGTGATTCTGGATGAAGTGCTTGAGGCTGAACTTCCAAGTAGATGTCATTTGCAAGCCTTTGCGGATGATGTCTTACTTATCGTCTCCGCAAAGGATGTAAATACATTACAAAAAAACACCAACCGTGCTTTGAAAATCATCTTGGAATGGGGGCAAAGTGTCAAATTGACCTTCAGACACACTAAGATGCAAGCGATTGCGTTCACGCGCAAGGCGGAGGAAGCCCACTTTATAATGGGGAGACACACTTTAGCATTTCAAAGGAGCATTAAGTTCTTAGGTGTGATCATGGACCGGAAGCTCCTATTCGGTGATCATGTTAAGTACGTCGGAAAGGCGATGAGAACTTTCAACAAACTATGCATTTACACCCAAACAACCTGGGGAGCCCATCCTGATAACTTACAAACTATCTATCGACAGATTGTTGAGCCTACAATTACATACGCGGCAGGCATCTGGGGTCAAGCTGCGAAAAAGCAATATGTAAGGAAACTTTTGGAGTTGGCACAAGGGGATTTGCGATAAAAGCAATCAGGGCCTTTAGAACTATATCAACTGTGGCGGCAATCGCTCTGGCTCAATTCGTGCCCTTGGACCTCAAAATCCTTGAGGTACATGAAGTTGAGACAGTTCGACTACAGAGCGCCACCACCTTATTATCAAGGGATAAATAATATGAAAAGCCCACTCCCGTACATGAGCTATTACATCCTTCAAAGAGGATAAGCATTGATTGTGCAGACCTGAAATCAGAGGATCTAGAACAAGAGACATCCCTTATTCGAATTTATACAGATGGAAGCAAGCTTGAGGATGGCAGTGTAGGAGCGGCTTTCGTCTGCTTTGAAGGCTCAAAAGAAATACATAAAAAGAGGCTGAAACTACACACAAGCTGCTCTGTATTTCAAACGGAGCTCTTAGCGATCAAAAAGGCCTGCGAGTGGAATTTGGACCGGAGATTTAATCAAGGTGATGAAACACATCAAAGAGGCAAAAGGATGCACACATGCCAAAAGGAGATTATTCAGATCTTGAATGACTCACAGGCTGCATTGAGCGCACTCCAAATGAGATCCAACACCCACCCCATTGTGACAAAGAGCCATTATATAATATACACAGCGGCCCAAATGGACCTTCATATCATGTTTTCATGGGTTAAGGGGCATGCAGGCAACGTAGGTAACGAAATCGCCGATGGATTGCCAAAGGTGCTGCCACGCAACAAAAAAGCCCTGATTATGCGAAATTCCCCATGAGCTTTGTAAAAAGGATTATGAGAGCAAACACTTGGAGAACTTGGCAGTCAAGATATGAAACGAACGTTAATAAAATTAAACGTTAATAAATCATAAGCTAAAGACAAAATTATAAGCAAGAGATGTAAGAAAACATTGTATTTTACTTATATTATTTTGGTATTTCTATAGGCAATCTCTTTAATTTAACCTATGTTCCTAATATTTATAATTTGCAATTAAGTTATAATATTTAGAGTATACATACGAACAATAGATCTTGCTTTGTTATTATTAATTTCATTTAGTGTAGAATAAATGTGTAAGTGATAATATGATGAAGATTGATACCTCATCAATGTATCAAATCGCATCGATGTAGCGTTATCTTGTCTTAGAGATTAACAATACATGCATCATAGTTTAAGCAATTTTATGCAAAACTGACTGTGTAAAACTGTAATAAATTCCCAACAAGGACGGTATACTGCCTTGGTGGAAAATCATACCAAAATATCAACCTCCCTGTCATAAAGATATGTATAAGAGAAATTTATATAACATGAGCATATTATTATATAACACCTATACCTAAGAATTTAAAAGAAAAAGAAGGAGCCTCTTTCAAAAATAATTTAACGAAATGGTTACTGGAAAATTGTTTCTATAGCCTAAAATAATATTTAGAATGGAAAAATTACAAAGTAAAAACAACAGTTAAAAATTACTTATAAATAGTTTTTTTGTTTTATGTACCTAAATATTCGTAATATGCTAATAGGATATTGGGATTTTGATTGTGTATGCGATATGCTAGTCATTTATCACTCATTTCCCAATATTTCTATCTAAATCCATATGTTTTTTGATAAACGTAGTCGGATTAGCTTGCTGCTATTCTGCTATTAACAAAATCCTAGAAAATATATAAAATTTGACCACATCAAAGTTCAAAAACTTTATTAAACAAAGTTTGTGTAAATATTTGGGTTTGTGTAGGGCTGAACTGAGAAATAGTCTGATAAGAGAAAAGTGTGGTTTGAAAGATGGCGTTGTGACCAGGATTAAAAAAGTAATGCTTCGGTGGTTTGGTCATGTAGAAAGAATGAACGAGGAAAGAGTGACAAAGCCAATTTATGTTGCAAAAGTGAACGGCAGAGTCGGAAAGGGACGCCCTAGACGAAGGTTTATCGACCAAATCAGCGATACATTGATAATGGGCCAGATTAGGAGTACCCTTAACCGACGAGCGTGTATGCGTAGGTATATGGATGTAAAGGAGGCGAGAGAGGTGCGTCAGGATCTTGCCAAATGGAAGTCCGTAGTCTCTGCCTACCCCTCTGGGTGACAGGTGTGTGTGTGTGTGTGTGTGTGTGTGTGTGTGTGTGTGTGTGTGTGTGTGTGTGTGTGTGTGTGTGTGTGTGTGTGTGTGTGTGTTTGTGTAAAAAGGGTTATTATAAGGAATTTATGGACGATAAAAACCGCCTGAGCATCCGGTGATCGTTATCAAGCTATTTCTAAGTTGTTTTGTGTTGTTGATTGTGTAACATGTATGATTATACTTTCAAAAACAGTGGTAAATTAAAGAAAAGAGTGACTTTAAAAAAGTATTATTTATAATCTATATTGAAAAGAAAAGATTCTATTTTTGTTTCTGTTATGGACTCTGTCTACCGCCTCGGTGAATACGGGCGTGACGTTATGTATGTAGAAAATTTAATAATAGTGTAAGACTTTCTAATGGTTGTTTTCAAGTCGATGATTTATAGTAGTTAGCTGAAAGTTACGAGTATGAAAGTGTTATTGGTTTCAAGCAATCGAATTGTAGTTTAATTGTTAGAATTATTAATCTAAGTTTAAATTTTGGTTTGTAAACAATTTTAAAGCTAAAACAATAATTAAATTTTTCAAATGAAATCAGTTCAAATTATCAAGTCCAAAACTTAAAGTTACATCCTATATACGTCCCACTGCTGGGCACAGGCCTCCTCTCATTTTTGAGATCGTTTTAGATTAGAGCAAGGAAATGTCGGCCGCACTGCCCCAATGCATTTTGGCGAACTTCAAATATCTTCGAAATATTTTTTTTCTTATTTCTCAGACATGCAGGTTTCCTCACGATATTTTCCTTCACTGCCAAGCAATTAACAATTTTATTGGTACCGGCGGGGATCAAACCCAGGTTGATCGCTGATACTGTGAAATTTACAGCGAGCGCTTAGCCTGAATGAGATGATATGTGGTAGAGGGTTCTCTTTCACCACCGCAACACGGCGACAGTAAAGAATATAAGTTAATAAATTTATTATTATCATGCATTACGAAGAAAAACTCTCAACTCCGTAGCCCGCCCAATACCGTTTCTTCGTTCATAAAATTTTATGACAAAATATACTATTTGAATACAAAAGCACGGTAAAGTACTGTGACAATATTTTAATACATATCAGATGTGGATTTTATTGTATCTGCGGTACCTGGGGGTACCTTACACATTTTTATTTTCTTTTTAGTAAACATTAACGTACGTTTTATACAGCAATATTTTTTTAATTTTCACCTACAATTAATGGATTTTTAATCTATTTATATTAAAGCAATTGCCTTGCGTTTGTGTTGAAATACTCAAAAATTACTCGGCTCATTTTTAATGAAATTTATTGCGCGTTCGAGTGGTGATCCTGGATAGTGTACAATGATTTTTCCATGTTCTATTTAGTATATGTTAACGCAAGTTTTGTATAGTTATATATTTTGAATTTAAAACCACGATGAATGGATTTTTCATCTATATGTATACAAAAATTAATTGCTTTTCTTTAATCTCGCAAACCTTGAAAGTGGCTGGACCGATTTTGATAAAAAAAAATGTGTGATCCCGATTGTGACAGTAACGGCGTAAGCCATTTGTTTCATCTACCGTATTTATAATATTGTTGTTAATAGGATTGTAGAATTGATAAAAATAATCTACCGCATTTAAATTATTTTTGTTAATGAGATTGTAGAATTGCTAAAAATAATCTAGCGCATCAATGTTGTGTTATTTATAGGATTATAGAATTGATAAAAATAATCTACCGCATTTACATTATTGTTGTTAATGAGATTGTAGAATTGCTAAAAATAATCTACCGCATTAATGTTATTGTTGTTTATAGGATTGTAGAATTGATAAAAATAATCTAACTTATTTATATTATTGTTGTTAATAATATTGTATAATTGCTAAAAATACTTACCCCTGACCAAGCTCCAGCCACCCATGTTGGGCAGTCTTGTTCATTGCATGACTGGGTAGATCTAGGCGCAGGAGAAATGCAGCCAGGTTCTGAACTGGACCCTGTTGAAAATAAAATTGAATTGCGTGCTAATAACATACAAAATAACACGTTAAATTTTCGCAGCCACTTATTATCAGATGTACTGTATGATGTCACCCCAATTTTTAAATTCAACGTTGCTTTATCCAAATGTTTTTTTTTTAAGTATTTCATATAAGCATTCTAGTTTCAAGACGAAATGTTTAAAACTATGGTGGCTCCATAACGCAGTGGCTTATCATTGAGTTGTGGTGCTGAGGTCTGATCCCGCACGGAGCAAATATTTTTGTGCCTGCAATATAAAAGACCTACAATTAATTTTTCTGGGCTTGAATGTCTGTTCTTGTGCAATTTAAGTATGTAAACTACTTCTATGATTCAGAGAAAAATTCTAGTGTGAAAGTAACGTATAAAGAAAGAAAACAAATCCTTAGTCCAAAATAATTGTCTAAAGATCGATTGACTCTTAATAAAAGAGAAATTCTTAGTGTTGAAATAACGTTTAAAAAAATAAAAATAGACATAAATAAATAGACAACTATGAAAACGTGAATCAAACATGAGCTGGATTAATTTCCGATTAACGTTGAAAGGATCACGTTCTCACAGAATACCAGCGTGAAATAGCTGCTATAAGCTGCTGTGTTTCGTATGGTAAGTGTAGAGAACCGAGGCCCTTTTTACTGCAAACGAGGCATTTTATCTTATTCCTCAGGAGTGATGACGCAACTGCATTTTTATTCTTAACGGAGGATAGATGTAGATGTCTATGAGCTACAGAATGCACTTACAATGATGTGAACTATGTGTTTGTTTTATATATAATTTAAAAAAAGAATGAAATGGTTGTAAATAACTATCTGGCTCGAAGGACCAATAATGAAATGATAAGCTAAATTTCTTTTTTTAATTATTAAATAAAAATTATAAGCACATACAGTGATTAAAGAGTAAAGGAATTGAGACATTACAAAGCGGTATGGAACGAATAAAATAAATAGATTTTAAATTCTTTCTACAAAGTTTTTTGGTACAGGAAAAGGGTGACAAACGAGCACACAGTCCACCTGATGGTAAGTGGATGCTGTGGTTCATAGACATCTACATTTATCTTCGATTACGAATTAAAATACAGATGCGTCGTCAGCCGTGAGGACTAAGATGGAATGCCTCTTTTCCAGTAAAAAGGGTCTCCCTCCGGTTCTCTACACTCACAATAAGAAACACAGCAGTATTAAGCTGCTGTTTTACGCTGATATTCTGTGAGAGCGTGGTCCTACCCCGATCGAGCCGACCCATTCGTGCTACAATCATACTATTAATATAGCTGCAATATTTTTATACGTGGTAGAGCCTTGCTTATATTATATTTGTTTTTAAATTATTAAATAAAAATTATAAGCACACACTGTGGTTACAGAGTAAAGGAATTGTGACATTAAAAAAAAAAGCAAAAAGAAAAAAAAGAAAGCGGTATTGAGCGAATAAAATAAATCGATTTTAAATTATCCATCCATATCATCTGGATGATTGGTGGTCCACCACTGTGCGATTTAGTAGAAGTTTTCTCCCTCGCACAACTTCCTTGTGGAATCGATTACCACCAGCGATTTTGCCGGACCGATTCGACTTAGGGACCTTCAAGAAAAGAGTATAATCCTTTTTAAAAGGCCGGCAACGCATCTGCGATTCCCCTGGTGTTGCAGTTGTTCGTGCGCGGCGGTAGCCACTTACCATCAGGTGAGCTGCTTGCTCGTTTAAAAAAATATTCTTTCTACAAAGTTTATGTGTTGCCAAGTGGAATAACTTTTTAAAATTATCATTTTAGCGCAATAATATTCAAGTAAAAACTTGTTATATTTCTGTATTGAACATAGTTACATAACGAATTGTAAAATTTAGTAACATAGTTGTATTCCAAGGGAACGATCTACTTGCAATATAAGCACATTGTCATTCTGCAGTCACTCGATATCTTTGAAGCCGATATAAAAGTGAAGTGCCCATAAGGATTGAGTCGGTATTATTCATAAAATTGCTTGAGGAGTAGTTTTCGTAATATGAAGCGAATTTTATTACAGTTTTTATGACTGTAATATTTTTATTTGTTACAAGGTTATTTAGTAAATCTGCTTCATTTTCGTCATTATTACATCGCTTGTAATGCACTGCTGTAATGAATTTAAGTAAAATGAAATGAAAACTTTTTATTTTTCGACGTAAGTAATTATTTCGTTTGTCAGTAGTTGTTACGGCCTGCAGCTGCCCCTGCAAAGGTCTGGACCTTGGCTGGGGCGCATATCAGCCTCCTCGACAGGCAGACGTGGGTCGGGCCCAAATGGCCATATGGAAAAATGTCCTATCATACTAAACTGTAGGGAGAAGGCTAGAAAAATATAGTACGTACATGTATCCGAATCTAAGACCGCCCCAAGGCTCAGTTAGGCCGTAGGTGGGTGTAAGGTGCATGGAAAGTAGTGTTTAGTGATGTGTATGTGTATGAGACCTGGCCCAGCTAAGGTGACCGGCAGCGGCCAATTTCCATGTTGCCCCACAATGCTGCATCACTCCAGCAGGCTTCCTCGCTGAACCATTTCTTTCTTCATGTCACTATTTCAGTCTATTAACTTCATTGTACATTTAACTAAATTAAACTCGCCTAATTTCACATTCATCGTAGAATCGAACACGTGATACCCGACACAGTAACGGACGGTAGTTCAAAGTTCAACAAGTCCCGGATTCATTTATCACCAAATTACAAATAGGGAACTAACGCGATCTTTTCATGAGTCACATGGTTCGGCGTTAAACACAACTAAGTTCCTTCGTTCGATACTAAATACTACGCTGCGATAAGAATTCAAAATCCGCCTCGTTGATACGTAAAACGAACAAAACAGTCAACACACAAAAAAGGGTACTTAACGCGACGGTACAATTGCAATGATGATTTCCAAACAATCAACAGGGAGACGCCCTCAATAAAAGACTGCGCTGTCCAAATTCTAAACCGTATCTCTAATCGGCGCACGCGCAAAATTTCACGTTACCCGAACAAGTTAAATATTACAAAATGCACTTCAACACGCATTCACTATCTAATTTACAAAATTACTTTCAAAGAAGTTTCTTTAATCAGTCAAACACAATACAAGCCTCTTGTCAAGAACTTAAACCCTAGACAATCTAAAACGAGGCGGTTTTCACGAAACACAATTACGTAGCGAAGGCACGTGCACAAATTCTAAAAATCGAGACCGTAACCCCAAAATCGGTCGCGCGAAACCTCGGTAGCGGCAAACGAGGTATGCTAATTAACTGCACGGCTGCCAGCGAGCTACTATATCTCGCCCACGAACGCCAAACGCTGGGAAGCTGCCTACCGCTGCCCCCTGCCCGCGATGCGCGTGACACCTGGTATCGGGCGATTCACTAAGTCGAAGGTGATTGGGTGCCGTCTCAAAATGCCCATTTTTGGGCATAAACAGTAGTCAATATTGTTTTTTAATCTATTACCGTGTCAAGATGAGGTTCCTGTCTGGAGGAGAAATGGTGAAAGAAACTCTGTAGGTATCCATTTCTGAACATAGGCCTCTCCCCAGGTATGCTATAAAAAATTTCCTGAGCCGCCTGCATCCACCGATTTCCTGTATCTCTTATCAGGTGGTCACTCCTTCAAGTGGAGGACTGCCCTTTGCCAATACGAGGTTATCACTCGAGAATCTTCCTTCCCCATCGGTTGCCGGTTCTTTGAGCTATCTCGACGACCCATTGCCACTTCACGTGGTACGTGTCACTTATACGTGGTAGAGCAACGCTGCAGCTATATTATGGTTGTAGCACAAATGGGTGGATCAGAACCACGCTCTCACAGAATACATACATAAAATAACTGCTTTGTTTCGTATAGTGTAGAAATCTAGAGATTCATTTTACTACTGTACATGAGTCTCTCGCTTACAAAGGAGTATTTCCTACCGCCACACTTGCCTGAATGCTTGGCGATAATAATGTTTCATTGAAGGTGGTCACTGTCACCAGATAACACCATTGATCGGAAGCCACAAGATCTTTCTGGAATATACCAAAGTCACCTCTAACGACAACCGAGCGACAAAATGGGGCAATGGAATCTTTGTACGAGGTACAGCTGCGCTACAGCATGCTCCACAAAGAAAGAACCAGGTTTGCAAAGCATACCAGTGAAAAATTGCAGAATAGTGCTAGGCTTGCAGCGCGTATTTGAGTGACGAGAACCGAGTACCTGGTGAGGCATTCCATCTTATTTCTCAGCGGTGACAACGTATAAGTATAAAAGCTTTTACAAAAATTTACTTCGCAAATATCCGCGTTATAAAATAAAATGATGTGTCTTACCTAGTATGAAGAAGCACCTCCCGCCCTCCCTCAATTGCGTGCACTAACCCCACGGTGGCTAACCGCTAAGATCTTAGCGGTTAGCCACCGTAGAGTCTATATCACCTGAGGATGCCTCGTGTAGAGGCGAAACACGTGTCGTATTATCGTCAGTGGTGTGTCTTGCCTAGTGTAGTGGTGTTGGGAGTAGCGGTGCTGGGATTAGTGGTGACGGGGTTAGTGCACGCAATTGAGGGAGGGCGGGAGGTGCTTCTTCATACTAGGTAAGACACATCATTTTATTTTATAACGCGGATATTTGCGAAGTAAATTTTTGTAAAAGCTTTTATATAATGGATTTCCGCAAAGTAACGCCTGATTCTATTAATTGTATAAGTATAATTTGGACTTTTAATCAAGGGTGGAAACATTAGTAAATGGTGGAAATTTAAGTAAAAAATGTAACAATAATATAAATTTAACTTTTAGCTCAAATAATTTTTAAACTCGTCGGTTTATCGAAAAATTATAAGCAATATGTTTTGTAGAACATTTATTTTCCTACAAAAATGCAGCATTCACGTACCCTCAGGCCTAAATTCTAGAAAAAACAGTTACCACATGTTTGATTTATTAACTGTTGATTGTATATTTAAAAATATCTAATAATATATCACACGTTGACCTGGGACATCAAGGCCATGATAGGTTTGTTTATGTGGTACTACCCAAGATGGTACTTATAACAAAATAGAATGTACCAACAATGTTACTAGCTTAGCGTGTCCTAAACTGCGACTAATAGGTTATAAGGTTTGTGATTGTGTAAGATAGGTACATATAACTTCTTTCAAAATATACCATCTAAGCCCATATTTTTTGGCAAAATGTGATCCGAATAGCTCGCTTGACGAACGTGACGATATGTAAATATATTGTTCTTCAACATCTCTATATTTTATTGTTACTTTTTTACATATTCCCCTGGTACACGTATTGACATGAGTGATTAAAACGGTGAAGTAAAGAGCCTACTCCTTTCTAAAAGGCCGACATGCACCCGCGATTCCCCGGTGTAGCGGATGTTCATGGTTTCCAGTAAAACGGCTTGCCAAGTTTCTACACTCATCATAAGAAACACAAGCATTTACCTGCAATTTCACACTGGTATTCTGTGAGAGCATTGTTCTGCCTCGTAAGAGCCATAACAACATAGTAGCAACATGGCTTTACCACTTATGGTGATCATTTACCATCAGGTGAATCGTATGATTGTTTGCCTTTTCTTCCATAATAATTAAAAATTAAAAATTTTGTACAATCGAATTCAATATAAATTATTAACAATTACTCAAAAATTATTGGTCAGACCTCGATCAATTTATATAGGACCACATGTGAAGCACCAGCTTTCAAATAAAAAAAAGAATTAACGAAATCGGTCCACCCAGTAAAAAGTTATGAGGTAACACAAATAAAAAAACATACAGTCGAATTGAGTACCGTCTCTTTTTTGAAATCGGTAGAAAAGAAACCGATAAATGCCTCGAACATTACCTTGTGATGCTCTTTGACTCTAAACCTTTGTTAACGTAAGTATTATAATGCACTGAGGCATATTGACACGAGTGATGAAAACAGTGAAGAAAAGAGCCTACTCCTTTCTAAAAGGCCGACAACGCACTTACTATTCCCCTGGTGTTGCGGATAATCATGTGCGTACGCGATCACTCCATCACGTGAGCTGAAAGCTCGTTTGCCTTCTCTGCCATAAATAACAAATTAAAAAAGTGCGAGTCCGACTCGCGTATGACGGGTTCCGTACCATCGTTAAACACGTTTATTACGAAAGTACGTATTAGGAAAGCCCCCTTTAATTTTTAATTTATTTATATTTTTATTATTAATATTTGTTAATGGCAACACAGTATAACGAAAACAGAAATACACATTCTGTGAAAATTTCAACTGACTACCTATTACGGATCATGAGATACAGCCTGCTGACAGACAGACGGACGGATGGGCGCACAGCGGAGGCTTAGTAATAGGATCCCGTTAGTTACCCTTCGTGTACGGAACCCTAAACAAGGGATAACTGCCTCGATCATTGCCTTGCGATGCGACTTGACTCTAAATGTTTATTGGCGCATGTATTATAATCCATTGAGGCCCGGTTCATGATTGCGCAAAGGCGTAGAGGTGAATTAAAGTCACACAGTTAGAAAATGTTTACAAATGTAGTTATTAAAACTTGTGTATTACAACATTACCCATCATAAACCCCAGGAGGTAGAGGTGTTGACATTTAATTAAGTGTAGTTGTATTAAATCTCGTTAGCTGGTTAAGTTATATAGCGCTTTATGCCGCTAAATTAGATGGTTTTACTATTTTAATTAAAATGTAAAAATACAGGTATTCTATTTTCCTTTAAGGTATGAAAATTTCACATTGCGCTTAACTAGCGTGAATAATTCCATTACAGTCTATCTAAAGTCTATTGATTAAAATAGACCTACCGACATATTGCCTCATAAGGCATAGTTGCCATATATTTGCCATAGTCGCCTCGTTTGCAGGCCTGTTTTTTATAGAATAAGGGTGACAAACGAGCGCACAGTCCACCTAATGGTAAGTGATTTCCCATATAGATCTACATTTATCCGTAATTAAGAATCAAAATGCAGATGCGTTGTCACCTGTGAGGACTAAGATGGAATGCCTCGTTTCCACTAAAAATGGTCTCCGGTAATCTACACTCACCATACGAAATACAGCATCATTAAGCTGCTATTTTACGCTGGCATTCTGTGATAGCGTGATCTTAAGGCTTTAAGATGCCTGAATGACCTTGACGAAATGGCGACCGCAGACAGAGTCTAGCGACTACCTTCTGTATTACTTAGAAATGTGCAAAGATTAATAGACTGCAGAGGTGCAAAGTATAGAAGTGATATACTACCTACTATGCTTATACAGCACTGAGAGTTATGGCACGGTTGAGTATCTTCAATTACATTGTACGGTGTGGTTGTAGCTTCGTCCGGTAGACATCACAAGCTAACAAGTGGTCAAGTTTTAAGTACGTAAGAGTTTTTATTATATTTGTTGAATCGTATTTATTTGTGTCGTGTTAGTAGCTCTGGCTTAAGCTAAGCGCTCGCTGTAAATTTTGCCCGAGTTCAATCCCCTCCGGCACCAATGAAATTGTTATTTGCAATTTTAAGTGCTGAATTAGCACGTGCTCGGCGGTGAAGGAAAACAGATTTATAACATTCGATGTTGTAAATTTAATACATTTAGTTTCATTTACGTTTAAATGCAGATTATTAACGTTAAACCAATGCACTAATTTTGATATACCATTATTCACTTCGTCACATTTAAATGATTGACGTTTAAGTTTAATAATCTGATGATACTATCAGCAAATAATACTATATATATCATGATTATCCCCTAGAAGCGAAGGTAAGTCATAAATATACACTATATTGCAGACGAAACAATATGGATTGCGCATCTATAAAACAAAATTTCACCTCTTCTCCTTCTAATAATAGCTCCTGCACCTGACACTGCGGAGTAGTTATTTCTCTTTTTTTCTCTTTTTTAGAAAAGAAAGTTACCCCCACACTCGGATTTTCTCCTGTGTCGTGGAGGCAGTTTACAAACTCAAATTGCACAAGGACAAACCCGGAACAATTACTTGTAGGCCATACAAATACTTGTTCCGTGCGGGATTCGAACCCGCGGCCCCCAGCGCAGTAACTCATTGCTAAGCTACTGCGCCACGGAGCCGTCAAATCAAAATCAAAGTCAAAAAAAGTCAAACGAAGTGTATCTATAAGACCATTTACAATAACAATTTTTATTAAGAGTTATGCATGTAACATTTTTATCAGCTACTTTATTCATAGTGCATTGAGCAACACTTTGCCGGTTTCTGTACAAAAAATGATGCTGGCTTTGGTATTTCTTAATTGTTACACTACACTTCGATTCATTGCTATGCATGTAGCTTTCAAACATTCAAGCATGGGCTCACAATTATTTATCATTATTAGATAATTATGATGATGACGGTAGTTCTGAAGATAAGCACTGATCCTACTTTTTATAGTACGTGAAGAACCCGAATCGCAACTATAAGTGCTCAAAGTAGAAAACATCGTGAGAAATCTTGCATATCTGAGAATGAATGGAATTTTAATACGTGGTAGAGCCATGCTGCAGCTGTATTAGTAGTATATTTGCACCGCGAATGGGTCAGCTTCATCGGGGAAGGACCACACTCTCACAGAATACCAGCGTAAAATAGCAGCTTAACGCTGCTATATTTCGTATAGTGAGTGCAGAGAACCGGAGACTGTTTTTACTGGAAAGTTAGCATTCCAAATTTGTCCTTATGGGTGACAACGCACCTGATTTTTAATTCGTAATTGAGGATAAATGTAGATGTCTGTGGACTACAGCATCCATTTACCACCAGGTGGACTGTGTGCTCGTTTGTCACCCTAATTCTATAAAAAATTAAGTTAAGTAAAATTATGTTATTAGCTAAAGAATTACAATTGAATTATTATTAATTGACGACACTAAATTACACTTTTTAGCCTGCAGTCAATGGACCTATCTGAACGTCAACCTTGCTCAATAACCCTCATGGAAATGAGAAAATGCTTCTATCCACCGTGATACTTAAGTAGGTAAAAATAAAGTTATACTTTATTTTTATACGTAATTGGAGTGTTTACTAGATACGTATCTAAACTTACCAGGTTCGTACGTATCAGCTCTTGTGACGTTTGCTGATCTTGCACAGATAACTCTTCGTGTACGAACTCCTCCACCACACGTGACACTGCATGACGACCATTCTCCTACATACCACCTGAGAAAAAATATATTGTTTATTTTCAATTACTTTAAACGGAGTAAGCAGAATGCAAAACAGTTAAAGTTTAAATTTCATTATTTAATCAATTAATATTTATTGTCGTGTATATACATTACGACGTACACGACACGGCAATACCATGTCGTGTACGTAGTAATGATCTTCTGATAGCGGCATAAGAATATTTTCTTTATTTATTTAAACTTTTATGCACAAAAGAAAAATCGTAAATATGGCGGACTTAATGCCTTAAGGAATTCTCTCCCAGTCAACCATTAGGCTATGCAGAGACAAACATATTATGGGAGTGCATGAAAAGTAAACTAATAAGGAGAAAAAAGTTAACGAAGTTCGAATAAACCAGAAATAATACATATATCTTCAGAAGAGCCTCTGATTAGCCTAATAGTTGACTGGAAGAGAATGCCTTAAGGATTTAAGTCCGCCATATGTACGATTTTTCTTTTGTGCATAAAAGTTTAAATAAAAGATATTCTATACAGATATATCATAAAATGTAAATATATTAATACAAACGTACCTATACATAAATCTACTTAAATACATTATATTTATACATTATCTTTATATATAAAAACTACGTGTCACATTATTTGTCCGCGATGAACTTCTAAACTACTGCACTGATTTCAATGAAATTTTGCACATTGTGTGCAGTTTGGTCCAACTTGAGAGATAGGATAGTTTTTATCGCGATAAGTAGCCCTCAATATTTTTTTTGCGAATTTAAGGATTCTTTCATAGGAAGGGTCGTCGGAAAGGGCAGAACAACGTCTGCCTGGCCAGCTAGTATTATATATATTATATAGAATATCCTCTAGCATAAATCATCATGTGAGTGTCATAAGACGCGTCAAAGGGGAGCAAAGCCAGGACATTGGCGATGGACAGCAGCGTCGTCTTAATATCAACTAGAAAATAATAAAACTGCGGTTGCTAACCCGCGTACCCATGAGAAAATCTATGAAGGAAGCATAAGCTCACTTTAATAGGTTGTGATGGTAAAATGGTAATAATTTATTGATGTAAAACTTTTAAATTTTAGTATTAAAGTTTTATAATTGTAAAATTTTAACCGACTTCAAAAAAAGGAGGAGGTACTCAATTCGACTGTATTTTTATATGTATGTTAGCTCAGAACTTTTTTATTGGTGAACCGATAACAATAATTGTTATTTTATTTGAAATCTGGTGTTTCTTATATATAAATAATTGTTCTTTTTTCATAGATACAACATTTATACCCATTAATGTTATTCCATATCAGCACCAAGACTAACTATTTGTGTGATAATTTCTATATGAACTCATTTTATTTTGTGGTGAGACTCTTTCTACCTAGAAATACGTCTTAGTTGATACCACTCTCTTAATTATGTCTTCCGCCAAGCAACAGTGCAACCAGTTTAAAGGTTATGAGAATATGGTGTGGTACGCCGTGAGATACTAATTGAAGTTGATTAGGAATTAGTTAAGTAAGAAGCCTGGCGTCGACTACAGTAGAAATGCGTCGAATCGAAGCAAGTCGCATTTATTCCTAGTGTGTCCATCTCAGAAGAATCGAATCGAATTGTTCATTCATCGCAAATTCATCATCAAAATAGGCCGTTTTATATATATATATATATATAATTTGATAAAGATGTGACCAGTTGTTTTTTTTATAGGATAAGGGTGACAAACGAGCACACAGTCCACCTGATGGTAAGTGGTTGCTGTGGCCCATAGACATCTACATTTATCCTCAATTACGAATCAAAATGCAGTTGCGTTGTCACCCGTGAGGACTAAGATGGAATGCCTCGTTTCCAGTAAAAAGGGTCTCCGGCTCTCTACACTCACCATACGAAACAAAGCAGCATTAAGCTGCTATTTTACGCTGGTATTCTGCGAGAGCGTGGTCCTTCCCCGGTCGAGCCGACCCATTCGTGTTACAACTATACCAGAAATATAGTTGCAACATGGCTCTACCACGTATAAAAAGTTATTCTTAATAATGCGTATTTAATAGATAAACTTCGACCACATTGATGATGTTCACTTCGACTACATTGACGATGTTCACATCGACTACATTGCTGATGTTCTCATTTTATTTAAATTGAAATCAGTTGTACAACATTTTTAATTTTACGGCTTGTGTTATAATATATAGTTTGGCGAAAGCTGTACTAAATGTCTCCCGTATACTATCGCAGCTTCCTATTGCCTGTTGGGGTATTTAACATCTGTAACGCTATAAATCGGAGACCACAAGATCTTTTTAACTGTCCTAATAGTATCCCCTTACAACTCTCACGGGAAAAAATGAGGTAATGATTATTAAACCTGGCAGAGCCATGCTGCAGCTAAATTAGTAGTATAGTTGTAGCACGAATGGGTCGGCTCGAAGAAGGAAGGACCACGCTCTCACAGAATATCAGCGTAAAATAGCAGCTTAACGCTGCTGTGTTTCGTATGGTCAGTGTAGAGAACCGGAGATCCTTTTTACTGGAAACGAGACATTCCATCGTAGTCCTCAGGAGTGACAACGCATTTGCATTTTGATTCTCAATCGAAGATAAATGTTGATGTCTATGGGCCACTGCATCCACTTACCATCAGGTGGACTGAGTGCTCGTTTGTCACCCGATTCTATAAAAAAAAAAATTTGCAACGTACACGCACACTAAGCACGGATTTTACGATAGCCCTATAAAAAAATATCTTGATACTTTATACTCGTATCTACGTTATTATCGTCTATTTTAGTGTGCCCAGCGAAGCGAGCGGCTATCAGCTAGTAGTGTATTGATAATTAAAGACTTCTGAATGCGAAATTATTTTATTCTTTTTTGTTCTTTGAAGTCGGATTTCCCCCCCCCCCCCTTGTGAGTGGAATAAGGAAAATCACAAACTCAACGATGTCTAAATAGTTCCATTAAAAATTCATGCCCTGTTTTGCGAACCCTTGGGATGAATTTTTTTCTCCAAGCTTAGAGACCTACATACCAACCTATCTCTGTTATAGACTTATTAATAACATGAACCTATTCAATAAAATAAATCATAAAAATTGTTTTACAATTAATAAGGCAATTTCGTAAAATACAAACGAAAAACATACAATCGAATGTAACTATTATATTTTTTTAAGGGAAAGTTAAATAAAAAGGTGGTTTACGTTTACTTACTTGAAAGGGCAAGGATGAGTGTTACATCTGATTACAGATGCTGTAGGTTTGCTAGAGCCGTCGCAAAGTTGCTCCGGTGCATCGGAGCCTGTTAGTCGGTCCCTGCATACAGCTAGCGACATCTTGTAGCCTGCGAAGTGAAATGCTGTTTAATTATCTACAGTTAACAGACAATGTCAAAGTTTCATCCAATCTAATATGACAGAAACTTTCCTCTGTTGTGTTCCGGTTTGAAAAGTGTGATTATAATTATTACTTACTAACTTGTGTAATTACGAGTACTAGCTGTGAAAGCAGTTTAATTTAATCCTATCAGTGACAATGCATCTGAAGTATTCTTTGTTTATCTTCTCCGTGGGTGGTATTGATCACTTATGGTAAGTGGCAGTTGAACTGCTAGCTGATTTGTCGCTTTAAACTACACTCGAGGATAGATGTAGATGTCTATGGGTCACTACACCTACTTACTATAAGGTGGTTTGTGTCCTCGTTTGTCACTTATATTATTAATAACAAAAACACTACAGTCCGTCACTATTCTACTGATGATCATGGGCCTCGCCTATAGATTGGCTCAAAGTGGTACGGGATACTTGCTATAATAGAAGCCACGCTCGCCATGCGCGTTAGCAACAAAACACACAGTTAAAGGTTTCTAAGAGAGGTTTGGCATAGTTTTAGTTTCTATGGAGAAGGAGTGTAGAAATATAATTTCTATACAATGTATTACAAATACGTTAGATAGAATAAAATAAAACATTTATCGTTTATGTTCATACTGCCAATGACAATTATCAAACACATAATATTCTATGGACAAACAGTCACACAGAGTAGAGATTGTTGCCAAATTGACTGACAGATTGACTGAGTGAGCCACGAGTGAGCTATGAATTTTGTGTGTATTCTTATGTTCATTTTTCTATAGTCTGTAGACTGTATATCAAGGCAAAAAAAGTATTTTACATTTGTATATTATCAATGTTTGTTTTATATATTAAATCATGAATAAAATATCATTATCAATACTATCAACCTTATATGTTATATAGATAATTATTTGTTTGTTGGTAATGAGAGTTGAAAGTAAAACAGCTTCACGCGACAGTGGCCGAATGGCAGGTTGCTACTGCGAGCTCAAAAAGTCATGAGTTTTCTTTCTTTTTTTTTCTTTTTTAAAAAAAAACGTTACCCCCACACTAGGATTTTCTCCTGTGTCGTGGAGGCAGTTTACAAACATAAATTGCACAAGGACAAACATCCAGACCCGTAACAATTATTTGTAGGCCATACAAATACTTGTTCCGTGCGGGATTCGAACCCGCAGCCCCCAGCGCAACAACTGATTGCTAAGCCACTACGCCACGGAGTCATTTGAATCCGCCTATCAACTACCGTTGTGAAGTACTCTTAACAAAAGCATTTTGAACTTACCAGGAGTTGTTAAAGGGAATTTTAGCAATGTTAATAGCATTGCTGATATATTTTTAATAAAAAATAAAAAAGCATGCCTCATATATACATTTAAAATATTATTAATTACGTTCGAATTTCGACCACTGTACGGTGTAGTAATTACTAATTATTATTAATTCATATCTAAATTCGTTCTCAAATAATCTTAAAGCTTGAAATTTGTTGCATTGCGGAATCGTAAATATATACATTAATAAAATTTACATCTTGAGTGCTTGGAGTTGGAAAGAAGAGAGAGTTGGAAATTATGTTTAGTAAAGTGTAAAAGTTGCATCGCCTTTGAAATCATTACACAGATTAAATCCCGGATCTAATGATATGAAAGAATTAAATAATTTTTATAAACACGCATATATACAAGAAGCCAAGAAAAGATATTCATCATCATTCCTTTCGTGCGTGTGGGGTGGTGCAGCGTAAAATCACCTGGTTGAAGCTGAGAAAGTTCAAAGAACAATACTTAAAACTGCAGCTAGTGTGCCCTATAGATATACGGCTACAGAACTGTACACGTTATGGGATGCCCTCACTGTTAGGCAAATATTTATACTATTTTTTATTATATTTTATAAGTGGTAGAGCCATGCTGCAGCTATATTATGGTTGTGGCACAAATGGGTCGGTTCGACCGGAGAAGGACCACGATCTCACAGAATACCAGCGTAAAATAGCAGCTTAATGCTGCTGTATTTTGTATGGTGAGTGTAGAGAACCGAAGACCCTTTTTACTGGAAACTAGGCATTCCATTTTAGTCCTCACAGGTGACAACGCATATGCATTTTGATTCGTAATCAAAGATAGTCGTAGATGTAGACAAGTAACAAACGAGCACACAGTCCACCTGATGGTAAGTGGTTGCTGTGGCCCATAGACATCTACATCTATCCTCGTTTGCGAATTCGAATTGCGAAAAATGCAGATGCGTTGTCACCCGTAAGGACTAAGATGGAATGCCTCTTTTCCAGTAAAAAGGGTATCCGGTTCTCTACACTCACCATACGAAACACAGCAGTTTTAAGCTGCTATTTTACGCTGGTATTCTGTGAGAGCGTGGTCCATCCCCGGTCGAGCCGACCCATTCGTGCTACAACTACACTACTAATATAGCTGCAGCATGGCTCTACCACGTAAAATCATAAAATCTCCATCATTACATACATAGGCTCAGACATATTAATCCTTCTTTTTATTAAATATCGACTTTTACATATCTTATTCAATGATAATAATGTCCTCCAGACCGAATTTCGGTCACGGCGGCCAGTCTCAACGGAGACTAGCCATCAGCGCAGGACAGGATATATGAATGTATGTATACATATATGTATGTATGTATGTATACATGTATGTATGGATGTATGGAAGTATGTACATACTTATTTCTTTGGTACGCTCTGTAGTCTCTAAACAGTTTGATGAATTTTTACTTATAGATTCTCGCTAAATTCGTCTTAGGCATGGTGGTGATGTAGGGTGTAAATACAGTGCAACATTAATATAACGTAGCTCAATATTACGATTTCCTCGATTTAACAAATTGCTAGAAATCACCTAAAGCTGGCTGTAAGAGTTGATACAAAATATACATTTACATTATGAATAACTTTCGTAAAAAGTTCTTTGTAACGATTTTTCAATTATTAATTTTTTAAACTTACTTACTTACTTATCTTCACGCACAATCCCTGACGGGGTAGCCAGAGAGAACAGATCGCCAAGTGTCACGATCCTTACATACCTCTTTCGCTTCTTTCAGATTCATTATCTTCTTCATACATGCACGTCTAGGTATCCGAGTACTCTTGACCCTACCCTCTTCGAGCAATTTGCTCACATGGTCTTCGAAAATTAGTCTCGGTCTACCTTGACACCTTTTAATATTAACTTTCGCGCTATATATTTTCTTCATCATTCGGTCTTCACTCATTCGCTCAACGTGCCCAAACCACCGAAGCACGCCGTTATCAATTTTAGTGATAAGTTCATCTTTCAAACCTGCCATATTGCGAATCTCTTCGTTTCGCTTTCGGTCGGCCATGGTAACGCCGCACATTTTACGAAGAGATCGCATCTCCACTGCATTCAACTTGCTTTTATGCTTCTTCTGGCATACCCAGGTTTTGCTGCCATATAACAAAGTCGGTACCAACACTGCGTTATGTATTGCAAGGCGTGCACTCTTCACTACGCCTTGCCTTTTGACTAACGCAGTCAGGGCACCATTGACTTTGTTCCCGGCAGCGACACGCCTGTCCACATCTAAATCAATTTTTTAAACAATGTCTAAATATCAATTCCATTAATACATCCATTACAGCTCTTAAAATTCAAAAGCTGAATATAGGCCTCATACTGACTAGTATTAATTAAAACAAACAGATAACGCGTAACATGTACGTTAAGTATAAAAATTTAAACTTGGAAATTCCAGCACCGTGCAGTGAAAATTTTAATTAAGAACGATGAAAAATTTTAGTATACACTTCACTAGCACTTCGTAGTAGCGATTACGTGAGCTAACGAAGCTCCAACTAACCTCAAGGAAAGTACATAAGATGGTAAGTATTCATTAGAATCTTATGAAAGTAAAAGAGTTGACCTCGAGCGTTAAGACGGTCGTTAGAGAAGTTTCGAGATATCTTTTCTAAATACTTTATATATTTAAAATAACAAGCAATGTTTATAGAATAAGAATGACAAACGAGCGCGCACTCCACCTGATGGCAAGTGGATGCTGTGCCCCTACACATCTACATTGATCGTCGATTAAGAATCAAAATGCAGATGCGTTGTGACCCCTAAAATTAAGATGGAATGCCTCGTATCCAGGTTTCCGGTTCTCTACACTCACTATACGAGAGACAGCAGCATTAAGCTGATATTTTACGCTGGTGTTCCGTGAGAGAGTGGTCTTACTCCAGTTGAGCCCACCCATTTGTGCTATAACCAAATATACACTAAGTAGGCTCGTTCTCACCATTAAGGAAGAAGATGGAATTACTCTCAGTCTTTAATTGAGGGCTCCGTGGCGCAGTGTAGTGGATTGAGTTAAAGAGCTGTGGGCCGCGAATTTGAATTCTTAGGATGTTTGTACTTGTGCAATTTATGTTTTTTAACTGACAACTTGATACAGGAAACAATCCTCATTTGTGGTAACGTTATTTGAATAGAAAACACTTTCTTTCTATATTATTCAGACCTAAACACAGTAGGGCACGCACTGCAGCTTGGCGTTGGCGATTTAAATATAGAAGAGGGTGGACCTACACAGATAGAGTCCCAGACTGAAAAGAAGTCCTACTTTCTAATATACTAAAACTATGTTGAATGGTATGCGATATTTCATTGGAAATATTTTTTATAGAATTAGGGTGACAAAGGAGCACACAGTCCACCTGATGGTAAGTGGTTGCTGTGGCCCATAGACATCTACATCTATCTTCGTTTGCGAATTAAAATGCAGATGCGTTGTCAGCCATGAGGACTAAGATAGCATTCCTCTTTTCCAGTAAAATAGGTCTCCGGTTCTCTACACTCACCATACGAAACACGGCAGCATTAAGCTGCTATTTTACGCTGGTATTCTGTGAGAGCGTGGTCCGTCCCCGGTCGAGGTGACCCATTCGTGCAACAACTATACTACTAATATAGCT